AAAGAGGCATCCACCATTCTCTACAGTACAGCCATTTCTATGTTCAGAAAGTTATATGCACATACATGAACTAATCAATGACCTGACAGCAGCTTTACTAAAAGACAAATGACCACTTCATTATTGTAGAAAAGGGCAGCCATTCAAAGCGGACGCCTGCAAACACACTAGGTAGCAATCTAGTGCACTAGTACACTTTCTACACACCTTAAAATGCTGCACAATCAAATGCAAAATATGCACCAGCTGCGGGACAGTGTGCCCTTCTTCCACGATGATCTTCCTGGTCCAGTGTGTGAGCATCTGGTGGCCATCCTCCATGCGGGCAGGCACTGCTGGAGTCAAGATGGCCATGGCCTGCCTGACAATTGCTCGGGCTTCCATTGCATGAGCCTTGAGAAGACTGTGGAAAACCTAGAAGAGGAAAGAAGTCCATCTGTATGGTGAGACTGAAGGCTTTAAAGAACAGGATACAAAAAGTGACTTAGAACTGAGCCATGATGTTTTTGTAAAGTAATTTTTAAAACTTTCCTTGGAGCTCTCTTATTAGAGACAACTTACTTGCTCTCTTCCTTCATTAAGTTCTGTTCAATGAAGAAATTCTTCTAATATTCACTGAGCACCTACAGTATGCCAGGAGCCAGCCCCCTACGCATCACTTTCACCTAGCCTACACAGCAGGCCATTAGTGAGAAACACAGATCATTTCCCTTTAGCCACAGCATGAGAAATGGAGTGAAAAGGGCAGGAATAAGCAGCGATTTTAATACTTAAGTGAAAGGTGAAGGTATGATGTAAGGCCACAAAAACACAAGGAAGAGCTTGATCCTGAGGATGGAGGGAAAAGAAAGGGTGCTGGAACCTGCAGGACTTGCCAATGCCTGGGCATGGTGGAGGGATGGAGAGCATGAGAAACGGCCCTCAAGTTTCTAGCTAAGACAACTGGGGGAAAGCAGTGCCTGTCATACAGCATGGAGTCACAACTCAAGTGCCTATGGAAGGTCATTTTTGGGTCTGGATTTTGACCTCATAAAAGTTCACTAGAAGAAGTGATCAGGGAAAACCAGCAAAAGCAGCCTCAGGACAAGAGCTAGCTGATCAATGCTGAATAAACAAGTATACTACTACATTTTGTCTTTTTGGTTTTTTTGGTGGCAGTGGTGATATAGGGATTGAACCCAGGACCTCCACACTGAGCCATCCCCCACCCCCTACCCCTTACTGAGACAGAGTTACTCAGTTCCCCTGGCTGGGTTCAAACTTGCAACCCTCTTGTTTCAGTTTCCCAGGGTGCCACTACACCTGCCCAGACAGTCATCCAGGGGCATAGAATCTGTGAGTGGTGAAAACAAAACTCAACCAACCATTACCCAACATCAGAGTCAAGGAAGAAGGTCAGAAATCAACACGACAGAAGGGTCACTGACGAAAGGGTGGTGGTGCATGCCTGTAATCCCAGCACGTGAGAGGCTGAGGCAGGAGGATTGCTGCAAGTTTGAGGCCAGCCTGGATTACAAAGTGAGTTCAAGGCCAGTCTGAATTGCACAGTGCCTCAAAAAGAAAACAACAACAACAAACCAATGGGGTCATAACATGTGAACTCAAAACACCTATTTTGGCTACAAGTTCATGGGACAAGAAGAGCATGTGCTGGCATTCTTGACAAAAACATTTTCAGATGGGCGTAATGGTGCGCACCTGTAGTCCAAGCTACTGGACTAGGGAGGTTGAAGCAGGAGAATCCTTTAAGGCCAGGAGCTTGGGGCCAGTCTGGACAACTACAGCAAGAGTGCTTTCCTTTTTTCTTTTTGAGACACGGTCTCGCTATGTAGTCCAAGATAGGCTTGAAATCACTATGTAGCCGAGGCTGACCTTGAACTTGCAGCAGTCCTCCTGCCTCCGTCTCCCAAGTGCTGAGATTACAGGAATACACCACCACAGCCGAGACCCTCTTTCATAAAAAAAATTTTTTTCAGTGGAATATCAGAGTTGGAGGCCAAAATTTAATAGGTAGATGAGCTTGAGGGAGACACTATTTAAAAAGCAAGGATACCAAGGAAGCAGAGAGCAATGCAAGCATTGAGGAGGAAGGGGACAAAAAGAACCACGATCGTGAGTGCATTCATAGTCTTTATTCCCCTCAACGATTCTTTCACTATACTAAAATACACTCAATCTAAAACTTCTGTCTTAACCAACCTTATATATACACTCCAGTTATAAACATACTGATTTGCTTGCTGTGCAACTGCCACCACCATCCACAACGTTATCTAAGTCCCTCTATCCTCTCCACGGTCATTCTATTCTTTGTCTCCACGATTCTGAGTCTGGATTCTAAGTATTTTGTAAGTGAAACCATACAGTATTTGTTTGTTCATACTGTCTATAAGATGGCAGATAAGCTTTTTTTTTTTTTTTAATGGTAATAGGATAAGACAAGAAAAAAGGAGAAGCAGTTATTCAAGGAAAAGACATACACACATGACAAAAGATCTGAACTAGAGGCAGGGTGGGAGGGAGCCCTGCTAAGTACCTGGAGGACAATTTTCTTATGTATTGCAAATTTGGCAATAATGTGTGCCAGAAGTAAGTGCCCGCTGTATTTGCATGCTGGGTCCACGCAGGCCTTGGAGAGCAGGCAGGGCCACGCAAAGGTCATCAGGCGGCGCAGCTTGCTATTGCGGTTCTTATTGTTGTCATGGATGTGGTGGGGGGCGTGCTCCACCAGCAGTGTGGCATACTGCAGAAGATAGATACGCAGGGAGTCCAGCATGTCTGCCTGCTTCTCAGGATCTAGGACCTGTCAGAAGATGCGGCAGGAGGGTACTCATTTTCAGTTTTAAGCTATGTTACCTACGAAGAGTCACATGGCAAGCTTAAACTTCACACACACCCACACCCACACCCACACCCACACACAATGTATACGCCACATCAATCTTCATTTTGTATATAAACTCATTTTCAATGCTGAAGTCAGAATGCACTGGGCAAAGGACTTCAGGCGGAAAAGAGTGTCTTTGATACAAGGTGATTCAAGACTAAACTCCTTATTTCCAAGTAGCTGAGATTCTTTTCCTGGTCAATCTTTGGTTATTTGTTTTCTGCATCATAATCAGAAAATGTGATCCAAAAAAAACCTGTTTTCAAAAATTTGTTATGGTTTTCCATGTAAACAAGTATTTGATAGACTTTTCAAATGTTTCACGGAAACATGAAAAAACGTACATTCTTTGAAGAATACTCTATAGACTCCATTAAATCAAGTATAACACTGACCCATTCAACTACATATCCTCACCACTTTCTGCCCACCAGCTCTGTCCTGCTGTGGAATACAGAGACTGGAGTCTTCTCTTGTGACTGTTTGGCCCCCACAGCTCTTCTGTTCCCTGGATCTGCTGCTTCCTGGCAGCATTCCCTCCGTTTGCCAACGGTTTGTCCCACAGTTTCTCCTCGTGAGGACACTCAAAACCCCAACTCTTTACTGCTCCCAAATCAGACCATCTGACCCAGAAAACACAGAAGAGAGGAGGTAGTGCAAGAGAAAGGGGTCTGCCCAAGCTACCATCTGCCCATTTGATAACACAAATATCATGACATGGATCAAAAACAAATCCTTGAGCTCAGCTCAGGAGCAGGAAGTAACGTCAAAACTGCAGAAAGTAGCCACTGACATGTATGTAGTGCTCACCTCTAAGAAAGCATTAATCCACACTGCAGATGGAGAATGCCACACAATCAACATTCCAACAAACAACTCACACAACTCAGTTCAGTCTCAGGGTAGGGAGCAGGCAGACCCGCGCCCTTGACAGACCCATGCATCGGCTCCCAACCAACTCCACACCTGTGCATTCCGCACCCTGGCCGTGGCTACCCATCAACTTCAGGTTGGCTCTACATGTTCTCCCCTCAGCACAGGGCAGCACAGATGCCAACCAACTGACCAACCTGATCATGGATGAGGCCAACGCCCAGAGAGAGAAGGTAAGCCCGGAGGGTCGGCACACCCAGGGATAATTACTGACCTGGCCAAAAGCTCCAGCCCCAAGAATAGTCCACGGCTATTGTAAACTACAAAAACAGTCACTTTACTTCAAAAGTGATTTATTACAGTAGGCTAGAGGTGAGAAGAAACCCAGTGAATCACGTTGCAGTGTCTGCCATAATCTGACACCATTTAGGGAAGAGGTTTATTGTTTAAAACTGAGCGGCAGAGCAACTCTTATTTCAGGGCTTTCAGTGTTACCCTCCCACAGCGACTGGGTGAGAGACAGCCACAGAGAGGGTACAGGCCAGACACAGAGGCCCTGAGAAGTTTAAGTAAAGGCCAGGAAGAACAGGGTCCCACCACGTGGCATGAGAAACCAGGGCTGGCGAATACCACCTTTCAGAGGCAGATGGATCTGAAGTGCTGACAAACTGCAGCAGTCTGCCTGAACCCCTGCCCTGCTGCCTACATCCAGCAGAGACCAAAGTGAGGAAAGACACGTCTTAGCTTAGGCAGTTGCCATGGTCTGAGGTGTACAGAGACAGGGCCTCTGGGACACCTTACAAACTTACTGGCTAAAGCTAGGCAGAGAAAATCATGACTTCTGAATTCCAAGATTGCAGATTCTGAAAATAAACCACTTATTCAAAACTACAGGTGATTTTGTTTGGGAACCATTCTGTTTCTGGAAATTTAGGGTCCCCCTTTTTCCCCTCTCTTTACTCCTTTTAACTTTTTCCTTATTTTTCTCCCCCCCATTTATTAATTCTTTTTCTTGTTATTCTTTTCTTATTCATAGTTTTATATGGTACCATTAATTTCTTTTCACTCAACAGGCTCCTTTATCTCACTTTTCTCTCCTCATTTTTCACGAATTTTCCAAATTTTACTTTTGTCATTGTCCTATTCCCTATCACCTGTCTTTATTAATATAACCATTAAACTTCATGAATCCTTAGTTAACTATTCTATTATTATTGAGCACTTTTCTATTGTTAGTAAAGTTACAGTTGTTGCATTCACTAGATATTTACTGTTTATGAATATTTTAGTGTTTATACTAAAATTATACATTACTTTCCATGGTTAAAAGTGGTACATTATTGGTTTTTAGGGTATGCCGATATCCAGTTTCTCTTTCACACTATTATCTTTGTTGATTTTATTGCTCTTGCCAAGGTGGCATAGTTACTGACATTAATTGGTTTTCTCTGTACTCCAATACCTGAGTTGTCTTTGTGTCATTAACAACACTGCTACCCACTTCCAGAGAACTGGGTCTTAGGTCAAATACACTGCTATCTCTCCTCCCAAACAGAGGGGGGTGGATATTGGGACAGAGGCAAAGGCCTGTAGTTAGCCAAGCCCAGAATGCCTCACTGAAAAGCAGGTATTAAAGAGATCTCCCTACAAGCAACGGAGTCTCCCTCTATAATTAACCTATGATCCTCAGCATAAAACAAACAAAACAACAAAAGCATGAGAAGACAAGAAACAAAATGTACCCATAAATTCCCAATTCCTTCAAATCTGATCCATGGGGGTTGAGGGGAAGAAAACAAAAATCACATAGCCCATTGATCTGAAAGAATAACAGAAGAGACAAAATAAACCGAAAGGTGCTTAGCAAGCTCAAAGAAGATACAATTTAAGAGACAATGGCCCTAATAAAATCATCAGCAATTTTATGGAAGACGCTACTAAAAAAGCTAGTTGAGCTAAATGAAATGACATAAAACATTCATGACCAGTCTAGCAAAAGGTACCAAACGGAAATCTACAAGATTAAATTTTCTACTGAAAGGATGGGCAGCAGAAGTGTTTAATGCGAGGAAAATGTCAGAACTAGATTATAGGGCCTAATGTTGGTGGCCAATTATGCAGAGATATCTTAAAAATAAGAGAGCATAAAAAATGGATCCAATAGCTATCAGTTAATGCAAAGACTAAGATTAATTGGAATTAGTGACAAATCAGAAGACAGCACGGGCTGGGGATATAGCTCAGTGGCACAGCACCTGCCTGGAAGGCGAGTTTGACTCCGGGTACAAAAAAAGAAGACAGCACAAAAGGCATAAAACAAAACAAAACAAAACAAAAAAAACCTCTTCATATAAATAACAGAAAATGTTCCAAATATCATGAAATAATCTAACATAAAGATAAGGCATGATCTAATATATAGATATTTGAGACATATAGAACCCCAAATAGTCACAATCAGAAAAATAAACCTCTCTATGACACATCACAGCTAAAATTCTAGAAATTCAACACAAGGACAGAATCTTAAAGCTGTCAGGAAAAACAAACAAATCACTATATAAGTAAATCCAATAGAATTACAGCAAACTTTTCAATATAAACCTTAAAGGCCAAAAGAGCTTTAAGTGTTTGAAGCCCTCATAGAAAACAACTTCCAACCCAGACTGATATATCCTGCAAAACTATCATTCAAAATTGATGGAAAAATAAGATCCTTTCCATGACAAAAATGTCTTTGCATGACCACTGGGCATGGTGGCATATGCATATAATCCCAGCAGTCAAGAGGCTAACGCAAGTGGATTGCTACAAGTTTGAGGCTAGCCTGGACTCCATAGTGAGTAAGACCCTAGCTCCAAAAAACAAAACAAAACAAAACCTCAAGATATCCCAGAAAGAAACAATGAAGCAAATAATGTCTAATAGAACGAATAAACCAGGCAGGGTGAACAGTCAAGTAGAAGGGAAATAAAGCAAATCACCAACCAGAAAATAATGCTAGTGACAGGAATAAGTCACTACTTTTTAGTAATAACTCTCAGTGTGAATGGTTTCGATTCCCTAGTCAAAAGACACAAATCCGCAGAATGGATCAAGACACGGAATCCGACGGTATGCTGTATGTAAGACACACATTTACCTCAAAAAGAAATTCACCTACTGAAAGCCCTTGCAATGGAAATATGAAAAACAAGCAGAAGTACCTATCCTATTATTAGACAAAGTGAATTTTAAGCCAAAACTCACCAGAAAGGCACCGAAGGTCACTACAAATTGATTAAGGGAACAATTAAACAAGAAGACATAACAATTATAAACCATATAAGCACTGAACACCACCAGTACACACCCAGCTTCATAAAACAAATACTACTGGAATTCAATATCCCACTGTCACAAACCGATCAACTAGACACCTCCTTCAAAAAAGTCAACAAATACCAGAGTTGAACAAATACTTCAAACAAATGGGCTTCATAGGTATCTATAAAGTGTTCTACCCAACAATAGAATACACTGTCTTCTCAGCTGCACATGCAGCTTTCTCCAAAATAAAGCAAATATTAGCCAATAAAGCATGCTTAAATGCAAAAGAACTGAAATTATGTTTATTTCTTTAAATCAGGTTTATAAATTATGTTTATTTCCACATGTTATCAGAATAAAGCACAATGAAACTACAAATCAATGGGAAAAGCACAGAAATTATCAAACACATGGAAATTAAACAATATACCTCTTCAATAATCAATGGGTCACACACACACCCAAAAAAAAAAAATCAAGGAAAAAATTAGTTCCTAGAATCCAACAAGAATGATACAAGCTCATAACTGTGAATGCTCACATCAGAAAAATAGAGTGGGCCCAAATAAATAATCTAATGATATATACTTAGGAGCCCTAGAAAAACAAGAATCCAAATCCAAAGCTAGTACAAGGAAGGAAATTATAAAGATCAGAGCAGAAATCAATGAAATTGAGGAACCTCCCCCCCCCAAAAAAAACCCAAATCATTGAATTGTAGGGCTGGTTCTTTGAAAGAATAAACAAAATAGACAAACCCTTAGCCAATCTAACAAAAAAAAAAGAAGGAAAGAAAAAAATCCATATCAATGTGGTTAGGTGAAATTTCAACAGATACTGCCTAAATCCAGAAGATTATCAGCAAGTACTTCCAGAAACCTGTTCTCCAATAAATTAGAGAATTCTGGAGAAATGGACAGATTCCTAGATACATATGAATTATCAACAATGAACCAAAAAGATACAAAACTCTGAATAATCAGTAACAGGCAACGAAACTCAAACAGTAATAAAAAGCCTACCAAGAAAAGCCCAGGTCCTGATGGATTCACTGCTAAATTGGTTTTTTGGGGGTGAGGGGTTTGGTACCAGAAAACAAACTCAGGACCTTGCGCCTACCAGGCAAGTGCTATGCTGCTGAGCTGTATCCCCAGCCCTAAATTATAGAAGAAATTCAGGTAAGATCTAATGCCAATAATCCTCAAACTCTTTAATAAAATTAAAAAGGAAGGAGGGCCAGGGATATAGCTCAGTGGCAGAGTGCCTGCCTGGCAAGCGCAAGATCTTGAGTTCGATTTCCATTACTAAAAAGAAAAGGGGGTGGGAGAGTACTCCCAAAGTCTTTCCTGGAAAGTACCATTATTCTGATTCCAAAATCAGTTAAGGATCCAACCAAAAAAGAAAACCATAGGCCTATCTCTTTAAAGAACATTGATGTAGGGGCTGGGGATTTAGCTCGCAAGGTCTTGAGTTCGATTCCCAGTACCGGAGAAAAACCAGAAGAAAAAAAAAAAAGAACATTGATGCAAAAATCTTCAATAACAGAATGTAACAAACTATTAAAAAAAGCATACATCATGACCAAATAGACTTCATCCCATGCAAGGATGCAAGAATGAGTCAACATGTACAAATCAAAGAATGTAATACATCCCATAAACAGAAGCCAAGACAAAAATCACATTATCATCTCAATAGATGCAGAAAAAGCCTTTGACAAAAATCCAACATTCTTTCACGATAAAAACTCTGGGGAAGCAAAAGGTATAGAAACAAGACAAAGATGTCCACTGTCACCATTCTTGGTCAATAAAGTACTTAAAACACTGCCCAGAGTAATGGGACAAGAGAAAGAAATAAAAGGGATATGCACAGGAAAGGAAGAAGTCACATTATCATTATTTACAGATGATACTATCCTCTACGTAGAAGACCCAAAAAGTTCCAACAGAAGACTCCCAGAATTAATAACCAAATTCAGTATTGTAGCAGGATATAAAATCAACAGAAAGATATCAATACCATTCCTATACACCAATAATGAAGTAGGTATACAATGTAATTCACAAGAGCATCAAGGAAAGTAAATACATACGAAATAACCTAACCAAGGAAGTGAAAGACTTCTATAATAAAACTATAGTATTGTGAAAAAGGAGATCAAAGAGACCATCAGAAAATGGAAAGATATCCCCTATTGCTGGACAGGCAGCACCAATATATTCAAAATGACTATACCTCTAAAACTGGATAAAAGATTTTAAAACAATCACAATCAAAATACCAACAGCATTCCTCACAAAACTAGAGAAAACAACCCTAAAATTCATATATAATCAAAAGAGACCCAGAATAGTAAAAGCAATGCTGAGTAACAAGAACAAAGCAGGAGGCATCACAATCCTGGATTTCAAGTTCTATTACAAAGCTACAGTGATAAAAACAGCATGGTACTGGCACCAAAGCATACATGAGGGTCAAAGAAACAGGAGAGAGGAAGCAGAAATAACCCCAGGCACATTCAGCTATCTGACCTTTGACAAAGGGGCCAAAAACATACAATGGAGGAAAGACAGCCTCTTTTAATAAGTGGCACCAGGAAAACTGGCTATTCACATGCGAAAGATTGAATCTAGATTCATGTATCTCACTAAACTAAAATCAAACCGGATCAAAGATCTAAATGTTAAAATGAAAACTGGAAGGTAAATCTTCAGTCTGGAGGTTAAAACTCTGAAGACACACACACAGACAAATACTTCTGAACAGAACACCAATCACATAAAAAATAACATCAAGAATCAACAAAATGGAATCAACGAAACTAAAAAGGTGTGTAGCAAAGGAAACCAGTAGAGTGAAAAGACAACTTACAGAATGGGACAATGTTTCTGCCAGCTATCCCTCAGATAGAGGACTAATATCTAGAATAAAGAACTGAGAAAAATTAGAACCCTCATAATAAAAGAACCAATCAAAGAATGAGCAACTGAAATAGAGAGACACTTCTTGAAGAAGTATAAAATGACCAATTAATATATGAATAATGTTCCAACATCTCTGGCCATTAGAGAAATCCAAATTAAAACAAGGCTGAGATTCCATCTTACTCTGGAAAGAATGTATGCCATCAAGAAACCAAATAGTAACAAATGCTGGCAAGGCTGTGGTGAAAAAAATGAATCCTTCTACATTGTTGGGAATGTAGTACACCATTGTAGAAATCAATATGAAGATTCTTCAAAAACCAAAACTATAGATTCTATTCAGCTCAGTTATTCATCTTCTAGATATCCTCCCAAGAGTTAAAAGACACCCTATTACAGTGATAATACATAGCCATGTCTGTATTACAGCAGCATAATTCATAATATGGCAGCTAAGGCTTGGAAGGGGCTATAAGTCCATCAACAGACGAAGGATTAAAAAATATTTATATACAATGGGGTCATCTGTAGGAAAGTGTATGCACTGTGAGACCATCATGTTAAGTGAAATCAACACTCAAGCTTAAATATTAAATGGTTTCTCTTATATGAAAAATTTAAAATACAAATGAAAAGCAAAATAAAATATCAACAATAGGAAACGGAGATAAATCTTTTGCAAAAGGGAAGGGGAACAAGAGATGTAAGGAGGGAAGGCAGGGGAAGGGAAGAAGATGAAAAAATAATTAAGATGTGTTATGTATATATACCACTGCCCCATGAGGAAAGTAATCATTATGTACTGTAAACATGTACTAAAATTAAAAACAAATTAAATATTAAAAATTAACAATAATCTCAAAGTAAACACAGCATCTAACCCTTAAATTTAATAAAACAAGTCTTAGAGAATATAGATATTTCATTAAAAACCTAAACTAAGTTCAGACATCATCACTGCCATGACACTGCACTATTAACTTGGGGACCAAAGATCACAGCAGTAATTGATAGTTGAATATTCTCATTGGTTTTAGAAGACTCACAAAGCTAAAGGTGAAACTGAACATCAACACCTATTAATACAGGTTTTCACAAAATCATCAAGGCCTGAACTTTCCAGTGAGACATACTCTGTCGCTGACTGAAATCGACCGAAGTGGAAATGTTAGTTCATTCCCAAGTGACTACCTTCAAGAAATTACGAGAAACTGTAATGGGATATGGATGCTCTGCCACTGACTAATGTACATACTTAGAAAAAATAAAGCCTTGGGGCAGAGCTTATTTCCATGAACCCCTAGCACATGCACACACATTCACTCGTCCCAAGTTCTGGTCACACTGAGGCACTGCTGGGGATACCACCTTGGTTATAAACACGCTGGTGATGCTCTCTGGGTTGTCTCCTTCTGGATTGGGAGGTCCCAAGAGCTGCTCTCCTTCTCCCTTCTCAAAGCTGTACAAGAATGCTGGATTCAAGATATGCTGCAGAACCTACAAAAAGATTAAAAATGAAGAAGGAAAACACAGCCAGGCTCTTTAACTCTTCCATAAGGCAGGAAGGACAATGCTCTGGATCCTAGAACACCATCAAGCCAGAGTCGACCAACAAAGCAACTAGTCATCTTAACTTTGTGCCAAAGGGCAACTGTCACAGTGGATTAAAAATGTGAGGAAGAGAGACCTAGTAACAGCTTGGCTTACTCTCCTCAAATCAAGCAAGGCATTCTCTGAAAACTAAGAAATCAGCAACACAGATTCACCACTGGATCTGCCATGCATTCCTTAGCAATGTCATTTTCTCATGTAGTCCATCCAGCCTACTATTTAAGCAGTAGCAGACATGGGAGAACAGAAGTATGGCTGAAAGTTGCCTGGCAAACCAGCTCAAGAGTCTGAGCCTTCTACTGCAAAACTGTGGAGCTCACCTTTGCTTTCAGTTCATCTCCAAAGTTGGGGTCATTGAAGTCTACAAAACGAAAAAACAGGGCACGTTTTTGAGCAATGCTATAGTTTTTGGGAATCTCTTCCTCCATATACTCCTTTAAGAAAGTCATATTGCAGAGAAAACGACCAGTGAAGGCTCGGAGCAGCTGGAACAGCAATTCTATATCTCCGTAATTTCTCCTAAAGGGTTGGAACAAGAGAAGAAGTTAACTTAAGGTAAATTCTGTAACTATGCATCGTCCCTGACTTGTCTTTTAAAGTAATTCAATGGTATAGCCCAACCCCTACAAGAAATCTGACTGTAGGCATTCAATGAGCCCAACCCTGTAGCCCTATACAAATTATAAACAAGAACCCTCCCGCTTAGTTTACTGGACACAATCAACCATGTGGTGGACACAAAGCCCCATGCTGCACCCACTTGCAGTAGCTCAGCAAACAAAAGGCCAGTAGCTTGGGCTCCTTCCAGTTGGTGGCAGCCATGTTCTCTTTGCGGTGCCTTTCTTGGAAGGTCTCACTGATCCACACACGTCTCAGCTGGCTCACCAGAGAATGCTGATTAGCCAGCCAGGAGTCATCATTCTTAACTATGATGCTTATAATCTGCCGAAGAACAGATAATCAGAACTGCTGCTCAGTCCCACGGTGGAGAGGTCAGGAACTAAGGAAGAGATCCTACCTTAATGGCCTGGAACTGGAGGTCCAGCCGCATGGTGCTGGTGCTGGGTGAACCAGGACGCACAGCCGTTTGTGGGCCACCTGGCAGCAGTAGGGTAATAAACCTGTTGGCGTTGGCTGCCAGCACATCCCGCAAGGGCCTGGCATCTCTGTGTTTTAGAAAACTCTGAAAGCAAAGCAAACAGGAGATCCGTTTTGAGCTAATCAAACTCAAAAAGTGAAAGAATATGAATTCTAATATTCTTGTGCAATTTCCATAAGCGGGTTAAAGGGGGGAAAATGTCCTATGAAGAGTAATTCCAGGGCCTAAGCTTTTCAAACATACAACCTAACAATGATGTTTCCAATATTCAAACATCTCTGAGAAGCAAGCGGGGGGACACTGTGCAGTGAAATGGGACTGAACATTGTAGAGCACAGTGGTTGACACAAGGCTGCTCCAGGACCTACCATGAACATTCGGCTCCACTGGGGATCGTTGAGTGTTGCTTCCATCATGAACAGCTCCACCGTCTGTGAGGGGTGCCGAGTCAGGAACTTGATCAGAGGCTCTCTGAAGGGACTACCAGCCTAGAAAACAAAGGGAAAACCACATCTCACACCACCCCTTCTCAGGGATGGTCCAATCAACACACCATAAGCACATGCACTCTCCACTTTGAATGGATTGCACTAAAAAGCAGAAGTATTAATTTCTGCATCCTTATGCTGTTAGATTACCTTATTTACAACACAACCAAGTACAACTATTATAAATGACAGAGAATGAGAATTAACCTTCGGCGTGGTTCATACCTCAATCAACATGGCTCGCTCTGTTTTCATTACAACCTCTAACAAAGGCTTGACCAAAGTTTGAGGTGCAGCTGGGATCAGATGAAAAAGGTTTATGATTGCTGAACAAATTTTCATTTCCTAATAAAGAAATCCAGAAATCATAAATATCCCAGTAAGTTTTTGAGCACAAGACAGAAACAACACTACAGACCCTATTACAGTCTAGCTATATTTGCAAGGCTGGCCACCAAAGCAAAGAGTTAACATGGAAAAGCCACAACTTACCAGTCTCAGAGAACAACTGTGCCATGTCCTGGAAACTAACTGCCCTTGGCTTTTAGCTCATCTGTCACTGCAAAGGGGAAGGGGGTGTGTATCTGACTGTATACGCCCACTGTGATTATGCTGCATGTTTTCAGGCACACTGACAAGTGTGGGAGGTGATCTTATGGGTCACCTATGCTAGTCTCCCTTACTGAGACAGGGATGATTGAGCACATCCGTGGCCATGAGAGAATGAGGACTGTCCCACTTTGCTCTGGCATCACAGGGACTTCTTAACACACTAAGTCTGATTAAGTAGACTTTTTTGCATTCAATAACTAGCTAAATTGAGTCCTCAAAATATACTTAAGTGTTTTATCCCGGAAACTAATATTAATGTAAATAAATGACTGGTAATAGTGCCAAGTATTTGTCAGCCAGGCCAAAAAATGGAGCTGACAAACTGCTCCACCAAATCACGAGAAAAGTGTGTGACTTTCTAGTGCACTGACAGCTTGGTGGTGGACTCCTGAGCGTTACTACAACCTCCTATTCTCAGAGGCCAGGGTTTTGCTTGTGCTATTCAAAGGACCTCTGTGTCCACAGGGAAGAGTCCCTGATGGGCCAGCCTGCATCGTGTGCAAGAGGTGGTGTGTACATGACTCTCTACAAGGTAAAATGGGGATGACACGCACTGGTCAGAAGGGACAATGTTTCCAGCAGCATTTGAGATATTTTTCAAACTTCCTCTTTAAATCAAAAAGCAGACAGGCAGGAAGTGAGAAAAATCAACTCAGTAGCACCCCATACCACCTCTAGAGCTCTCGTCTACAAATTTTCAGACCTGGAGATAAAGTTCTATTGCGAATTTATTACACTCTAAAATGCTCTTTTATGTCATGGTTTTCATAGCAACATCACAAAAACCACTTCTTTTGGTCTTACACCACCACTGGAAGACAGATAGGTGTTATTATCCCCATTTTACAGAAGAGAGAAAGCTCAGAGTATGACTCGAAAGCTACAGTGTTGGAACTACAGCCGTGTGCACACACGTGTCATGTAAGAAGAGGAAGGGGAGTGGCAGGCAGTAGGACAAAGAGGTTCTAAATTCAAGGCAGTCAGTAAGCCAGCAGTGTGCATGAAAATATAATCATTCCCAGTTTCTAGCACATATATTCTTTGTGGCACTTCTTCTTAGGAGGGTGCTAGATATATGAGTTCATATGAATGTTATGGTAGCAAAAACCCATTCAATATTGAGTAGCATTGAAATATTGCAATTCTAACATGTGGAAAACAAAAGAACTTAGAATCTTGCTTAAAACGTCCTAATATAGAACATGCGTGGCATCCGGACAATTCACAGCAATGATACTAATACAACTCTGCCACAGACAGACAGTACAAGTCACTGCACTCAAAGGCACAAGGCACTTTGTCCACTACAGAATCACAACACAGCTAACGAGTCACAGCAAAACCAAATGCGACAACAACCCCCTCCTGCAACTCCGCTGAAATTCTCACCTCTACCCCTTCCATGGCAGGCTGAACCAAAACAAAAATTACAGCATGAAAAAAGGCAACAAAAAGGTAAAAGGAAAAGAAAAGAAAAAAATAAAAAATAAAATGTTCTTCACATTGCAAGTCAAAAACTGACTTTTAATAGGTTGTTCTCACCTCAAACTGACAGAATGGAGACAAGGAACATCTCCCGCACTCTGAAATGCTTTCCTGAGGATGGGGAGGAAAATCATCTTTTTCTATTTATGTCATTTACATAAAAACTTCCCATATACTCAAACACAGTAAGGGTTACTGGAGTTAACAAGACAGTAAAGACACAATTATCAGAAAGCACACAATAATTAACAAATGCTCAGCAGCAAAAAGCACACCTTCCACCCTCAGATGTCAACATGATCCTGGGATAGAGTCTAACAGAGTATTTCTTCCCTAGGTCAAATGTTAAAAACAATGTTTCAAGATTCTTGTGTAAGGGAAGAAATGGTAAGACTCTTGTATGCAAACACATTTTTAAAAGACTTACTTTGCAGAGTGAGTAAATTCAAGGTTTTATGTAAAGTGCTAAGACATTAAAAGCAGGGGGGAAAGAAACCTTTCCCAACTACAGTCAGAAAAGAACCAGGCGGTGCAGCCCCACGAATCAGACATGTCTAAGCCCCACTCCCCAGACCACGGTACCACCCAAGAGCTGAATTATCTTATGTAGTGAAGGAGTCTTCATAAAACTAGCTGCATGTGTTCCTGTGTATATGCATGTGTGTGTACAGAACTATTCTAATAGGCAGTTATGCGCTGTCTGCTATAATGTCAAAAGGGGAAGCCAATCTAAATATGGTGACTTTCAGGGGTACTCCAAGATACACTGGAGATTCCTTCTATCCATCCTTCTATCTGTCTGTCTGTTAACTACTTAACGTTTTCAAATACGTTATCTAAATAAGCAGACTTATTTGGGAATTCTACCAGTCAAGAATAAACTACTAAGAACCAGTGTCCATTCTGTTCAATATCCCTTAAAAAATGGTAAGAGCTGAAGAGCAGAGCACAGGACTGTCCCTGGGCTTAGGTGATGAAACCACAGCCATGCTCTCTGCCTTTGAACCCCAAGTCCCATGGACTGAGTTTCAGACACATGGTTAACATCTTGAACCCAGCAGAATGATGCAAACGTCTCAGGAGGAGCTCAACAACTTCCCAGCACCCATGCCCTGATAAGCACAACTGCATCCCCCACCCAAAATAATGTATTACAAAAGTTTATGGAATCTTTTTAGTCCAACAGAAGTCATTCATCTACTCATTTAGTTCTTTTGTTGTTGTTCTTATTCTAGTACTGACTATGTGTTTCAGGCAACTAACTAGTTTACTGTAAAAACAAATGCAAAATTCAAAGCAAAAATACCTCCATGAGATGAGAGAGGGAAGAAAAGCACAGCAGCACCTGGACCTACTGCTAAGAGCACAGGCTTTATCAATACACTCTGCTCTCTTCTGTAAAGATATCCAATTTTGTTTTGTATATATAAGCAACCAACTTCTCCGTGAAGATTTTTTTTGCATATATAAATAGTAAGTTGTCCACAAGGTCATGCATAGTATAAAATTTCTTTCAGAAGTTTAAAATCCTGGTTTAATTCTGCTTAGTTGGCTATTCAGAAGCAGCAGAAAAGATGTAAAAACAGACTACATTCATACAGAATGGTCAAAACAAAGCATAATAAAGCAAAAACAAAAATTTCCAAGTTGGGATGAAACACAGCATCCAACGAATAAGCACAAGAAAGGACAATAAGCCATATTATTTATGCCTTGAAAGAACTATGTGGAATTCCCTAGTAGGGATACTACTATAAAATGTCACCAGATGTCAAAGAAAGTACAGAAGATACTGTTCCACTGATAGGGCATCATCAACTTTAAAAATATTTTCGAAAATTAACATATACAACAAATTAGATACAGAACAGCAGAAAGCATGCATTTTTTTAAGTGAATAAGTCTTTTATGATCAACATCAGATACGTAAGATTTAACTAGAGTGGTTTTTCTTCAAAACCATATAAATTAGCTTTAAGTGCTAGTCTTTTAATGTTTGGCAAATAATTTGGGTGAGGAATTTAGGCCTAGAAAATATGCATGCCAGTATTTATGTGATGTTTTATTACAAAATATGCATGCCAGTTTTTCTGTGATGCTTTATCACATTCTCCTTAGTGCTTTTAAGTCCTAAAAAAAATATCTAGGTGGTTTTATCAGACAATAATGATTAAACACGAACTTTTACCAACCAAATGATAGAAAGCAATGGAAACAGTAGGTGAGAAATGCACCACCATGTAAACAGCAGCTACCAAGAACAGTCTAGAAAACACACTGTTTAAAGCAAAACTAATAAAATCGAAATACTAACATTTCAAGCTTCCCATAATTCTCAACAAAGACCATATTAAAGTAAACAGAAGGGAGATTTAAAGAAATATAAAAAGGCATGTTCAGCCATTAGGAGAACTGAAAGTGAATCTAATTCTACTAAAATGTGTTTAACAGTTTACACGGACAATAATCACATAAAACCATTTCTGACTAGCAGTTTAATTAAGGTACTGCTCTGGCATGAACACTAATACCGGCACTGTGCCACAGGGGTGGCCTTCCCAGAACAAGTGAGTCACTCACGTTTCCGTCGCTCCTCTGGCCCCCTTTGTGGGTGATGACCACCACTTCCATCCACTTGCGCAGGTGTTGCTGTTGAAAAAAAACAGACACAAATTCTTCACCCCAGGAACATTCAAATACACTTTCAAATACTGCCCTTTGGTGGAAACTTGTCACCATTAATTCCCTTGTTTTAATGTATAAAACTTGCTTAACTGCAGTTCTCACATTACTTAAACAGCCTGATCATTACACTAGCCTTGCAGATGATAAAGAAGCTGAATTTATCAATACAACACAGAGAGTTCGGAAACCCAGTCATTCCAGTGCCAAGCCCTGTCACTTTCCTTCATGTTGGTGACTTTCGCACTGTTCAGTGAGTACTGTGATGTGCCAGGTACCAGGGTGGAGATGGAGCGGAGAACTGAGCTAGCAGATCTCATTCCTGTCTGGGGGAGCCTGCGGCCAAGCAGGGAAATACACAAAACACCAGGTGCATGCTGTGCACAAATACAGTTATGGTAAGCATGGTAGGCTTCACCAAAGAACAGGAAGCAGCTTCAGGTACGGGGTGGGGTTAAGGCAGTCCCCATGAAGGCTAGGATATCTAAGCAGGGACTGGAAAGAGGGAGGCAAATGGACCCAAGTAAGAGAAGTATGCTCCAGGCAAACAAGAGCGACAAAGGTTCTAAAGCCAAAGGAGAAAGGTGGCCACTGGAGTAGAGAAACAGTAGCACAAGGGGCCCAGGAGAAATGGCTTCTAATGTAGGTATTGATCCCTCTGGATCAGAGGCTGCACAAACTGACGCAGACAGGTAGCCGTTTTGTCCTATACAGAATAACAGCAATCTTTATACAGGTAGTGAGGCTCTGCAGTTTGAGCAAGCACATGAGAAAAGAGCCCTGCCAATAGCTAGTCTGGGTTTGTGGTAACAATGCTTCAACCTAGGTCTAGTAAATCTAAGTGGACAAGCACTCAGAGCCTAACAGCCAAACCCTAACAAGGGCATTCAAATAATGAAGGTTTCTTTCTTACTCTGCATTGTCCAGACTGGTTCTTTGGGGCACTTGTGGGAGACCACCAAGCTGTATGCTCCTGAGAAATGAAGCCCCTTGCCTCCATCTTTCCGTCACCTTTACTTCAACCCTATTTCACTGAGATGTAGAGCTGGCTATACTGAACCAGATGCTCCCTTAACTGACTAAGTTGGCCGAGATGCCAATGTGTCTCCTAGCAGCACACAGGGGAGAAAATGGGCACCCTGCTGATGGCTAAAATGGGGGCTCCAGCAAGATCCTGTGAAATTCCAGGGCTAAGACATGCGATAACATCTCAGCTGAAGTCATGGGACTCAAAAAGAATTACACCTTCCTGGCAGTAAAGATGCCAGCCTTGCATTTATCCAGCTTTCCATTGCACTGCTAGTTAGAGGGCCTCTGTACCTGGAACAAAATTGCTGTTTCTCCTTATAGCCAATGCCTGCAAAATTTCTCTTCCCTAGCACTCTGCTGCAATCCCCACCCACCTTCCTGATTGAAACCTGTAAAAGCCATGAGTTTTTGGACTCCTGGCCTTTTGTTCCACAGACAGTTTGGGTCACCCCAGAACTCCTCATCTGCAGAACTTTCTCTCTTTGTCTTTATTTTGCATCCGTGTGCCATAATGCAGGGTGGGAGACCTCAACTCTCCACGTGGGTTTTGGTAGGCACTAATGTCCTCTGGGAAGTTAGAAAGTTGCTTTGAAAAGGATCCATAATGATACAGGCTTGGAGAAAATGATTTGAACACTCCCAAACACTTCTCTAGGATAGGCCTTTCCTGAGCCTTCAGTATCCCTAAAGTCCTTGTCAAACTTCAAAAGCTGTTTCCCAAACTCACGCAGCCAACGAATAGGTTTATGTGGAACACTACATATTGCAGGGCCACCATTCTATACCAAGAAATGCATTAAATAAAGCACGTTTCTTTAAAATGCTAAAATAACAACATTTTACTAATAAATTCCCTCAACGATATTAATCACCAGATCTTAAATTCATGAAACTTATACATCACTGGAACAAATATTTAAAGCTACAAATTAGTAACAGAACTGAAAGCTTAAACCAGGCCAGCTGTGTCACCATTCTTTTTGCTTCTGGATTTCTTAAAGGAAAAAAAAAATGACATTGATATGTAAGATCATTTTTAATTTTTAGTTCAATGAGAAAATACCCAAAATACTAAACATGGAAAATGCTACAAGATCAAATGTCAAGCAGTTCAAATTTTTTAAAGAAAAGAACTAGATATGGTACATAAAAGAAAGAAGCTGGAGTGTTATCTTATACCATGTACAAAAGTTAATTAAAAATGCATCAAAGACTTAAAAGAGATGAAACTGTAAAACTCTTAAAGAGGGGAAAATTTTCAAGATTGTTTTCATGAATGCCCATGCTACAAAGATGTGTCCTTCCTCCTGAGACAGTGCTACCTCCCGCAAACTCAGCATTATCAATGACTGAGTTTCGTTCTAAAGAACAAGGCTAACCAAGGGCTGTTCTGCCCCTGGCATGACACAGCAGGCGCGGGATAATTCAAGACCTGTGCCACTAAATACAGAAACAGAGCCAGGTGTGGTAGTGCATGTAATCCCAGCACTGGGGAAGTTGAGGTAGGAGAATCACCTTGAGTTTGAGGACAGCTTGGACTAAATAGTGAATTCAGCACAGCAAGACCCTGTCTTAAAAAAAAAACAAACACACAGAAACAGTGTGGGCCCAGCTATACCCAGATGGGGTGGGTGCTGAATGGCAATGTCTAGTCAAATAGCAATTACAATCATTCTTTGTAGTACACCAGTCCTCTGCTCTTAGAGGTTTTTGGACTACTGAGAAAGCAAATGAAGAGGACAAAAGCCCTTGAACAAGCCAATGTGCTTTATTTTAGAGAAAGAGATCTTTGGCCTCAGAACCTACAAACTACGAAGCCGTTCTCTTAAAGCTGCACTAAAGGGGCTGGGGATTTAGCTCAGCGGCAAAAGCGCCTGCCTGGCAAGCGCAAGGTCGTGAGTTCGGTTCCTGGTACCGGAGAAAAACAAAAAAAAAAAAAAAAAAGCTGCACTAAAGTAAGTCTGGATACCAATGTTTCCTGAATAAAGTGTCAGCTCAGAGATCTGAAAGGTGTGACTAGGGGTCAAAAGAAAAGGTACTTCAGGGAGGCATGCAAAGAAATGGCAGCTGATAGAGGGCTAGGATAGAAGCAAATGGACATGAGAACAAACGCCCAAATCGCATCTACAAAAGCACTGAGGTTGAAGCTGGGCATGGTGGTACATGTCTGTAATCCCAGCACTTAAGGGGCTAAGGCAGAAGGATTGCTGTGAATTCAAGGCTAGCCTGGACTATATAGTGAGTTCAAAGCCAGCCTGAATTACAGAGTGGGGCCCTATCTCAAAAAAAAAAAAAGCAAGCACCAAAGTTGGAACATAGGACAGAAGGAAAGTGTGTACTGGATGTGCTCTGATTAGGCAGCAAAATAACTTCATTTATTTATTTCAACCACTCAAAGTACACTGCATATATTTTGAGGCTTAAGAGAAATATTTTCCAACTCAGAAAATTCATTTGTGTAATACTTTGTTTTCTTATTATAATCTATTATTAAGGCAGTACTTAATTTTGGTGATATGGTCATCATTCATTATGTAGGTGTCTATAGATATGAAAAATATGTATGAAGTAAAAATCTGTGTGGTTTTCATATATATGAGGTGTATGTCTATACTCCACATATATGTACCTCTACATTATCTTTATCTACGTACCTTCTCCTACCTTCAACAGGAAAGGTGTACCAAAAACGAAAATAATACCTCCACTATCACAAAGGGTCTAGTCAAAAGCCAATAGGAAGCACAAGCATGAAAAAAACACGCACATTTGTCCTGATGTATGATTAAGCTGTCAGATGATTGTTTATCAACTGATTTACCAGAAGCAAAATGGAATGAAAAAGCTAACAAAATTCCCCATCTGCTTACATTCCAATTTTAAATGTTAGTAGATAGGTTTGTCGGCATAATCATTTATCTGATAATTCTAAAACTCAAACACTTCAGTTTTCTGACACTTGCTCAAGGTTGTATAGGAGGCATACTCTATTCCATAGGAAGAAGTGCAAACTGGCAGAATCTCTTCAGAGAGCAATCTGACAATGCACTGAAAGACTGAAGAGCACTAAAGAACTGTGATCCAGGGTTTCACCTCTAGAAACTTGGCTATAAATAAAGAAATATAAAACTCTACAAGTTTTAACTTGCATCACTGGCTATAATGCCAAAGGACTGGGGATAATCTAAATGTTCACTTGTAGGAAAAATAGTAGAATACCCGTAAGTCCTGGAATAGTGTAAAATACCTCTTGAAGGACACACAGGACAGTGCTAACACTGGTTGCCTGAGGGGAGGTACTGGGCAGGAGGAAGGCAGGCATGGGAAGGAGACATTTTGAGCTTTTGCATTTTAAACCATGCAAATGTTATTTATTTTAAAAACAATGTAAAACAGTACATGGTGGTGCACGCCTCTAATCCCAGTACTTTAGGAGGGTGAGGCAGGAGGATCGTAAGTATGAGCTCAGCTTGGGCAATTTAGCAAGACCCAGTCTCAAAATTAAAAAGGCTTAGGGGTGAGGACTGGGGAGTCTCTCAAGTGTGACAATCCTGGGTTCAATCCCGAACACTACAAGAACTAAAGAGGGAAAAACGTAACTTCCTCTTTTTTTTTGAGACAGGGTCTCACTATGTAGTTCAGGATGGACTTGAACTCACTATGTAACCCAGATTGGTCTCAAACCCGACAATCCTCCTTCCTCAGCCTCCCAAGTGCTGCGATTACAGGTATACGCCATCATGCCCAGCATCTCAAATTTATCCTAGAATCTGTTTCATCTCATTTGGCTTACCATCATCTGATCACAAAACTTGTCATTAAAGGAATTTGGGAAAAGCCTTGTAACAGAAGTCAGACGATTTACAACATTCAATGTCAAGCTTCGGTAATCTCCAAGCATCATCAGCAAAGGCCTCATATGTGTATGAATTTGATCTACTTCAATAGTAGCACCTTCTAAAAACTGTTAAAAAAAGAGAAGTTAAAAACATAGTCAACAGAGAACACTATATTTCACTCATAGTCAACCCTAGCAGCAAATGTTTTCCCTCAGGAAAGCAGCATTAAGTAGCTGTCTCCCAAAAACCAACGATGAAATGAGGGGTTAACTTTACTGTTTAACATTTTTAAAGAACCAGTATGATTACAAAGCAGACAGACTTACTACAATCTAGTATGTGATACCCACACAAACTGACATCCAGGTGTCTCCTTCACACACACATACCCACCTTTCTCATGCAGGCTTCACCAGCCTCCTGGAGCTCACTGTTGGTGGAATTAAGGGCTTTGAAGAGTGCAGCAATGATTTTCTCCCTGGACTGAGGAAGGTAATTGCAGGCTGCAAGTGCATCTTTAGGGAAAGAATTAGTACAATTTCATTAATAACCTGAAAACTACATGAACAATTTTCTTCTTTAAAAGATACAACCAATATGAACCACTAATCCTCTCTCCTGCTAAAAAAGAATGCATGGTCCTCCAGCCACGTGTTCAGTACTGTCTAGGAATGAAGTCAATGTTCTGCCTGAAAGGCCATGGTAAGTCTCCAGATAGCCTTGCCTCCAAGACACCCTCACAGGTTAGTACACGGCTGGCCTGGGCAATCACGTCTGAATTACAGAGGGTGTGGCCTCTGAACTTCCAGTTATAGGTGATACAGGATGAGACATACATGGCTCTCTACTACATAGTCTCTCCACTACGGAAGTGTCCAACTCTGGGGGTTAAAGGCTTTAAGTCTCTGAAAATGCAAATATTCTTAAGAAAGGGGACATGCCTCAATCCAGTGTTAGTTAGGAGATGACAATCTAGCAAGATTCATACTTGTATTTGCTAACAGAAACGAGGCTTTAGCTTGTGCTGTGTTGAGCACTCTGTCCTCATCCCCATGTCTGGGTATCACAGTCGGCTGCTTGGCTCTTCTACCTAATTCAAGAGGGATCTGGCAATATTTTAGTAAGCACTTTACTAAGCACAAAAAACCAAACGATCAGCTGGGTGTGATGTGTGCTTGTAATCCCAGCACGAGGGAAGGTGAGGCAGGACAAGCGCTGCAAGTTTGAGGCCAGGCTGTGCTACTCAGTGGGTTCAAGGTCAGCCTGAACTACACAGCAAGACAAGGTCTCAAAAACCAACCAAATAAAAAACCAACAACGGGGCTGGGGATTTAGCTCAGCGGCACAGCGCCTGACCAGCAAGCACAAGGTCATGAGTTCGACCCCTGGTACCGGAAAAAACAACAACAACAACAACAAAAAAAAACCAACAACGAAGAATCAATTTCAAAATACCCATATAGGCATTTATTCACTCAAAAAATAAAATAAAATAAAATAAAATAACTGCTTCAACATAAAAGGATTAATTAGTATTGATCTAGTGTATTTCCCTAAACAGCACAATTTTTCTGCTAACCAGTGAAGTTCTTAGTGAAAAAAAGACTATAGGATTCTCAAATGCTTCTGACTCATGAAGAAGTCTATATAAAGACTGTAGAGTCCCTATTACATACCTGGATTCTGATGAAAATTGCACTATACGGACAGTATGGCAACTCTTATAAGCCAGAATATTTGATACTTCAGAGAATTATAAAGTGTGTGTTACTGAGTAAACTCCATTGAGTAAAAAATTATCTATAAATCGTAACAATGTATTCAACCTTACAATATCTCATGATACAATCTGATAAACAACTCTTGGTTTTGCTTTTTGAAACAGGGTTTTGCTATGCAGCCCAGGCTGGCCTTGAACTCATGATCCTTCTACCTCAATTTCCCAAGTGCTAGGATTTTAGGCATGTGCCACCATGCCTGGCTACAAATGTAAGTTTTTGATCCCGTACTTAAAGCACCATAAAAACCCAGACAATTAGACAATAACAATAAAGGTCACTGTCTTCTTTGCCTTTTATAGCCTGTAACTTACTTAGTGCTGCAATCCGTAAAGGCACAAGTGATGGAAGGCTTTTATAACAGGGCAGTTTGGTTAAAGCTGAATCCTCAGCCTCACACAAATTCAAAAGCTAGAAAAGATGGATAAAACAAGGTAAGCCCACTCCTCCAGGGAGCTCACAGCAACTTTGCAAGTAACAGCACATAGCAATCTGCCATTCACATGGCAATATGATTAACAGTTGACAAACAAATTCTCAAAGTATCAAAACATGACTACACCTCCTTATTTTAATGCAAAATTTCTTAACCTCATCAGTCAATACATTCTTAGACACATTCTCATTTACTCTGATACCATGCTTTTTCTCAAAAGAAGAGTATCCTTTTATATAACTACAAGTTTTATGATGGCACATCTGTCTCCCCATTGTTCACAGCTGCTTACCCAATGCCCTTGGTAAGCATTCAAGAAACAGATGGGCCATAATGTAAATATTTGAGTGGATGTATTTTTTCTTTTCCGGGACAGGAAAGCATAATGAAGAAGCCTAATACCACTGGGAATTCCCGTGGTTATCCTTCTAGATGTCCTAGCATATGGGTACCTGTATATCTAATATTTAAAATATGATATATGTCAATCTATCAGTATTTTCTCCTTTGCTTACATCTTAGACAATCAGTATGGACTTTTACTTTTTTTTTTCACTTAAAGATTTCTACCTGGTAAAAGATTTAAAACAAATAGTATAAAAGTAGAAAATAGCATAAAAGTAGAGAATACACAGTAAAAAGTATTTCCAACCACCTAACCCACTCAGCTCCTCAGAGGAAACCAGTTTCCAGGTCCTTATAAGATGTTCAAGAATACTCTCCTCATATGTGAATGTGTGTGTGTGAGTGTGTGCAGAAATAGCTGTCAAACGTGGCCACACACCACGATCTCCTGAGAAATCTTTAGACAGTAAATGCTCAGGTCTTACTCTATATATACTGAACCTGAATCTCCAGGAAAGGACGTGAGAATTTATACTTTTCAAAAAACCCTTGCATGTTCTGGTGCAGTGAGCACACTGATGAACATCTGGAGAAGAGTTCCATGCCCTCTACACAACAAGGTTCTGGTCTTAGGTTTATGGACAGGCATCTGTGCATGTTATAAATCATCTGACTCCAAGGGAAGCTGTTCTCCCACTTTCCAGAGGCTCCTGATCCTCTATCAAGTCAAGGGCAAAAGATATAACAAGTTGTAATAGCTCAACCATATGATTAGATGACCATATGTCCAAGCAAAACTGAAGAATTTCAAAAGGAAAAAAAATAAAGAGGTAAACTTTCACAGCTGGAAATTCAGACTTAGTATAAACCAGAAAGAATTTACTTCCTTAGGAATTTAGCCTCCGTTTACTCCAACTGTCTCTGTAAAAACATAACTCATGTAAAAAGTCCAAATCAGGACTGCCTACCAGATCATTATTAAATTCTAAGAATCAAGGTTTACAATCTGACTATACGTGCAGTTTAATTTCTGTTGATCACTGTATAGAATCACTTCACACTGGCATGTCTGCAGTGACACATGTTTAGAAGGTGTCAAGTGTCAATGCCTGTGTTTGGGTCAAGAGGCAAGTCAAATCCACTAAACAAAACAAGAGCATGGCTGGACAGTGCAGTGACTGGGAAGCATGCTCTGAAGTAAGCATTCCTGGTTACAACCTTACGTCTGCAGCTCTGTGGTCTTGGCTAAGAAATAAACCCTCAGGCTCAGCTGCCACATCTTCACAATGGGAAGAAATAGCACCTATATCTCACAGGGCACTGTCAGAGGCATGTAAGGGCACCTGTGATGTCTCACCAGTGCATGGCACATTAGATGGTTACTAAGTTCAACAGATTGGCACTTGTTCTGGGCCAGCCGTATTCTGGGTGCCAGCTGTTAAGGTGGTTAAAAATGAGAGGTACGGTGTTACTGCCTAAAACACAACTGTAAAGGCCCAAAGTTACAGTACAGTTCCTTGCAGAGCTGGCAGAGTCCTGAGGACTCAGAAAACCCTAACACTTTGCTGAACATCTCTGGGCACCAGGTCTCCCTCCTACCAGATCCCAGGCACCAGACTCCTTCTCAGAGTGCTGTGCCGGGCCAAAACTGGTTACCCGTGCCACTGCCTAAACCTTGTCTGAATGCTACTTGATCAGTCTTCACGTACAGATGTGCTAACAGACACACCACCATCCACACCACTCTGCACTACCACCCCCCTACCTCTGTGTAGAACACCTTATGCTCCACCACGTTAAGATCCATTGTGAAGAGCCGGGGCTGCAGTGTGGTACAGAATGTGTTCCCTTCCATCAGGCCAATCTGTGCATTGGCAGGCTGGTGTCGAAGCAAGTGTTTCTTGGGTGGGACCATATCCTGCAGGACCTGGAAAAGCCAAGGAAGAATACCACTAACCAGTGCCCCTCTAACAATAAATGCCTTTTGTGACAATACTCCACACTCCAAGGAAGAATACCACTAACCAGCGCCCCTTTAACAATAAATGCCTTTTGTGACAATACTCCACACTGACCACTCTGAAAACTGTGAGAGGCACAGTTATCACAGAAGCTCTTCAATGAGGCAAGCAGGACATGTTTCAGGTGCTAGAACTGAATTGTGGACAAGCCCGTCAGAAACATTTAGTTCCTAAGACTCCAGACTGACCTCCCTTGATTAAAAACAAAAACAAGCAAACAAGAGCAAAACTAGAGTTCTGTATCATACTATACAGACTCAGAAAACAAGTCTTCTACTCTCTTGACATAATTTAGTGACACAGCCAAAATATAAACATATTACAATTTGCATATATGAAACCAAGAATAACATGCACAGACACTTTTGACATGAACACAAAATTATAAACAGTATTTACAACCCAAATTTGAAAAAAAATAAAAATCATCCTGCTTCTGTGTCAGAAGCCTCACCTCTTTATGGGGTTCCATTATCACCGTCACGCTCTTCCCAGTGACCTGCGCCAACACCTGCAGTGAATGCATGGCCTGCTTCCTCACAGTGGAGTTTGGAGAGGTGACTTCTCGAACTAAATCATGGGTCACATGGTGAAAAGATTTCTCCTGAGCTGCCACAATCTCTTCGGCTCGCTCCTCATCTTTTAGAGGCGTGGCACACCTCATGAGGAGCTGCTCCAGAGTGGTCTTTGCCATGGCAACTGCCCCGTTGGAAACCTGTAGGTCAGGGAGGCCTTAGAAGGAAAAGGAGGATGATGTTGCCCACCACACCCAGCTGCCCCTCACACTGGCTGCTTAAACAAGAAAGACTGTTTTACATCTTAGTAGCTAAATCACCTCCCTGTAGGCGAACCCAGAAAAGAAAACATGACCTAGAAATGACCCTGGTGTCAAACAGTTAAGCCAGTGATACCCAGTCTACTCTATCAGCACGTGTTACATCTGCAAATGGTTTCACAAGAACAGAACACCTGCGGAAATTTGCAGTACATGGGAAGCAGCATCCCTTCCTTCACATGCACTCTGGTCCATGACTGCTCCAGTGCAAGCAAACCATACCCAGTAATAGCCTATGGAAGAGAGGGGGTTTGGAGTTGTCCCTGTATCAGAGACACTGTAAGGAAACTGAGCATCAGCACTTCCTTGCTGGGAGAAGCATGCACTGCAGAACTGCCTCTGACAGACTGTTCTCCAGAAAGACGAGCTACTTGAAAGCAGCTTGGTTATTTAGCTTTGAAGCCACCGACACCTACCTCTCCCGTTAAGTCCATCATGACGAAGAGGAGTGCTTTGAGGAATGTCTGCTGGTTCTGAAGAACCCATGTGAGAGGCAGCCGCTCCATGAGAAACTTAATGGACACCACACCTCCCAGTTTTGCATACCAGGCCTGCTCATAACAGCAGGCACACAAGCGCTCCACGATGTAGGAAAAGAGGGGAAGCTGGCAGGCCTGGAGAGAGAAACAAACAAGCCTTAAGGGTACTAAAACTCTCCAACTACCAGTTCCTAAAGCAACTACCTCCAGTTACAAACACCCCTAATATCAAAAGACACTCTTCCTTCTTCCTTACCCTCTCCTTCGAGCCCAGGATGATGCTTGCAACATCAAATATCACAGCCAAGGCCACTTCCCCAATCTTGCAAAGTTCCTTTTCTTCATAGGCCATACAGATAGCTATCGCATCAATGAGAACCAAGGGATCCATTCCTTTCGACCCGTTCTCTTCACTGTGAAACATGGCTGTGCTGGGCTGGCTGCCCACCTGGTAGCAAGGCAACAAGAAAGGGCCTAGAAGAAGAAAGCAAGTACATGAGCAAGTGGAATCCATCCCCATAATCATTCCTGGCCCTTAAACTGCAAAACTACCTCATTTCCCCCAAGGTTAAGAATTCACATCAGGAGGCACTGGGAATGACCACAGGTTGTTCTGGACATTCCTAACGTATGAGTAACAGTAAAAGCAACAGTAACTGGGTGTGGCACACATGGCTGTAATCCCAGTTCCCTGGGAAGCTAAAGTAAGAGGATCGTAAGTTCAAGCCCAGTTTGGACAACTTAACAAGAAAAAAAAAAAAAAGCAACAGTAACCAAGTGCACCAGAGACTATACACCATCAAAGAATAGTTGGCCACAGTAACTTGGAATTTAGTACCTGGTGGGTACCAAGACTATGTAAGATAGAGGTAATCAGGATTAGCTTTGCTAGAAAGACAATGTTCATGCAGAACAGTCACTGAGAAACAACCAGCTGTTCAGTTGTATGGTACTGTTCTGGCCAAAAAGTTGGGAAAGCACACAGAAGAGTACAAACAGAAGAGTGCTAGTCAGCCTCAGGAGTGAGGGGCTCTGAGGACAAGCTGGAGCAGTGCTAGTCAAGTGTGGTCTGCAGACTAACTAGTACCGGTCTGAAAGAAGATGCAAATATTGCACAAAAGCATCATCTGCAATGGGTTAGAAATGAACAGAAACAGCACAACTGAAACGCCACTACCAGGAGCCTGAGAGCCACCGAGGCAGGTGAGTGGCCGTGCCAGGCAGGAAGAACATCACCAACAACTACCTCAAGCAGAAGTAAGTTCGGCACAGGAGATTAGAAGAAATGGTCAGAGCAGAGTGAGTAATGGGGCACAGGAAGCCTTGAAAAACACCACAGGCAAGATCAGCAATGAGCTGACTTCAAACCATCAGTTTTACATGCAGTATATTCAAAAGTACTCCGCCTTCATTTTTCTCACATACAACAAAGAGTTGTGCTGTGAAGACTAAACTCGGTATATTTAAAAATTACAAAACTTGGTAATAACTTTTAAATCAATAAAGCGCCAACCAGAGATGGAGGGCAAGAGGCATGGTAGCACTCTCCTCTAATCCCAGCACTCTGGGAAGCTGAGGCAAGAAGACTGCAGGTTCAGGTTTAACATCTAGGCTGGGCAACTTAGCAAGACCCTGGTTCAGAATAAAAAATAAAAAGTGCTGGGGATGTAGCATTATGTGAAGGCCCTGGGTTTAATACCCAGTGCCAACCAAAAAAAAAAAAAAAAAAAAGCCAAAATCAACCAGCTCCTCTGCTTCTCTGAAATGACAAAGCATCCTAAACATCCTGAGCAAGTTTCATGAAGAAGGGAAATACCCATGCCCTCTGCTACAACAACCCCCACACTCACCACACTGCTGAGCCACTGCCACCATGGTATAGTGGCGAATCAAGCTGGCGACAAAGGGCAAAGCGCTGGGCCGCAGATCCTTGATGACAGCAGACATGAACGCCCCAGTCAGGGCCTGCTCAAATGTCTTCCGGGCTGGCGTGTCTTGTGCTTTGTAACGATGTGAGATAATGACGTTGGGTATGGTCTTTTCTGTAAAGCTGGAAGGAAAAATTGTATCAGTCATCACATCCACCAACTAATGAGCTGGGGAACTGATTCCACTGTAACAACCTGCCCACTTCCCTCTTATTTAGATAGACCTGGGTAAGTTAATTTCTCTGCTTTAATTTCAGCAGTATCTAGAAGCAAATATGAATTTCATTATCCACACTTACTGTGTTTCAAGAGACACCAAATATACTCTACCTCATATGAGCACAAGCAGAGATAAATTATAAAATGGCAACATACTCAGGATTTTTTTTTATTTTTAAATTAATTTTATTGGTACATTTTAGATACACATAATAATCATTATAGGGAATTTGTACCTGAACATGACATATCTTGATTCTTCTTTTCGTTCCCATTCTCCTCCCCTCCCTTTGATCCCTCTTCTCTTCCTTATTTGCAAAAGCTTTGTTTCCATTTTTTCCTTCTATTGTTTTTTTCCCTTTTCTTTTCTTCCTTTCCCCTACCTCCTCCTCAGTTCCCCTGCCCATTTGAACATTTTCTTTCTTTTACAGTATCTATTTTATTTCTCCTTTCAGAGTTTCACACCAGAGAAACAATGCAATAAACGTGTGTCAGATTTATTTCACTTAAAAGTATGGTCTCAAGATGCATTCATTTACCTACAAATGTCTCCAGTTTACCCTTCTTTATGGCAAAGTAGTATTCCATTGTATTAAGATTTTTTTTCTTTATCCATTCCTCTACTGACAGTCAACTGGACTGTTTCCAAGACTTAGCTATTACAAACTATGGACAGCATACCCAGTATTTTTATCATTACTTTCTATTGAAGAAAATTGATGTCTGATCTTTATAGCTGAAAGAGTCAATCCTAAAAAGTAACTAAAATCAATGATCAAACAGGTCTGAAAAAAGCTATGACTTAAACGGAGCTACAAACCTAGTACAGGCTGGAAGATCATACCAAGAGCACAGAAGCAAATGGGTTTGTGCCTCCAACAGACAAAGCTTTTAATGCAGCCCTTCCTTGCACAAGATTAACTAAACCAAGAGGGGAGAATGAGAGGTACACATCAAACACCAATGTTTAGTAAGGGTAAGACCCAATTTTCAGAAATGAGCAACTGAAATACATACTACTCAGAAGTACTACAAATAGCCAATACATGAAAAAAAAATGTTCAACATCTCTAGCCGTTAGAGAAATGCAAATTAAAACACTGAGATCCTGTATTACTCCAGAAAGAAGGGTCACTGTCAAGAAATCAAATAATAACAAATGCTGGTGAAGCCATAGGAAAAAAGGAACCCTTCTGCATTGCTGGTAGGAATGTAAACTATTACAAACACTATGGAAAGCAGTATGGAGATTCCTCAAAAGGCTGAAAATAGAAATTCCATTTGACCCAGGTATTTTCCCAAAAGAGTTAAAGAGGTGATACAGGCACACCCATGCTTATACAGTGCAATTCATAATGCCTAAATCTTAGAAGTGGCCTATATATTCACCCACAGATGAATGGATAAAGAAAATGTAGTATTTATACACAATGGAGTACTACTCTCTATAAAGAAAGATAAATTTGAGTCACTTGTAGGAAAATAGATTAACATGAGACCATAATAAAGTGAAATAAACCAGACACACAAGTATGGTTATCTCATGGTTATCTCACATGAGAAACTCAAAGTATAAATAAATATAAAGCAAAATAAAAGATAATGGAAACAGGAAGATCAATCTTTTGCAAATGGGAAGGGAGGAGGGATAAAGGAGGAGAGTGGAAGGTGATGTGAAAAGAATTAAGATGTGTTAAGTTCACAAACCAACTCCCCATGATGAATGTAATCATTATGTACCACGAATGTAAAAATTTTAAAAAAATTTTTAAAGGAACAGTCACTAATACATTAAAAACAAACGTATCAGCTTCAACTCTGCGAGCTCTAAGAAAAAGAAATTTCTAAGACCAGACATCCAACTTGTTTTTCCCTTAACTCTCTAGTTCTGTCTCTGAAGCTAATAAAATACATCAAGGCCCTTTATTTCCCCACTCCACACCAGAAAGTCTTCTCAGCTATTTCCCAGTTTGTAATAATGCTCTTCAAAATGCCAACTAGGGGTTCTCAGTCTCCTCCAACTTGTTTTCCCCCAACATTGCTAACACCCCAGTCAGTGGTACCTCCGGCTTAAGCCAGGAAGCCCATGCTCAGCCAGAGGAAGCTGAATCCTGTCGCTCACTGCCGGCAATACTGAGAGCGAACTGCTCAGCCTGGCCGCCCAGCTCTGCTTACCCACTGTGCTTCCATGCTGGGCTCATCTGAGGGCCTCTGTCCTGCTTCCCTAAGCCTAGAATGAACCCCGCCCACTGGGCATCTTCACAATTTCCCCCTTCACAGTTCATAATGATCCCCACCTAATGTCACCTACTCAGACGGGACTTCTTTCACCGCTCTGGAGTTTTATTTTGTCCCTTTCACACCTTACCCCAGCGCCAGCCTGATAAACATAATAGCACATAATAACAAGAATCACTGAAGCGATATATACTTTGTTTTCTTTTGTCCCTACTACACTTTAAGTACTGGATGACAGGATCTATGTTGGACACCAACACTGAATAGTCCTGTCCTAGAAGGTACCCACTCTACAACAGCAGCAATGCTGCAGATACAAAAAGCATGGTGTGCACCATAACAGGTCCCGAGACATCCAGAAGGAAACAACCAACAACTGGACCTTATTCACACTATTCACTAGAATCACTCTGAGAGATCAAAATGTGAATGATTAAAAAATAGATCTTCTAGAAGTTAACATAAGAAAACATCTTCAGGCCTTGAATATGGAAATATTTCTTACAAATAATATAAAAAAACATGAAGCCAGGCATGGTGGAGCACGCCTGTAATCCCAGCACTTGGGAGACTGACACAGGAGGATTACTGTGAGTTTGAGGCCAGCTGGGGCTAACAGTGAATTCAAGTCCAGCCTGAATTATATAGCAAGATCCTGCCTCAATCAACCAATCAATCAATCAGCAAGCATGAAATGAAATGAAAGGAAAAATTTATCAATTTGATCACAGTGAAATCATGGTCTTTAGCTTATCCAAAAACTCTGCTGAAAGGTTTAGAGACAAAGACACCCAGGCAAACACACATAGCTGAGAGCTATTGGTCTCTCCACTGTTCTTCAACAAGCGCTCACTCCTTTACAGCAAATGGTGAGTCCCTGGCCAGAGAAAGAGTATACAGAATAGCCAGAAACATCTTGCGAAGTTAGAAAGTGTTCAGAAATTGATAAGGTGACACCAGAAGAACACAGTAAACAGAAAGGGCTCTCAATGACAAAATCCAGATAATCTGGTCAACAAAATACTTGACGGATTACAATCCACTGAAGAAAATTAGAATCCATGAGTCAATACCATGCTGACCATGCTTCACCAATGAGACAAGTCAACAACAAGCGGCTCCCTTGTCCCTTTTCACACCTTACCCCTGGCCCAGCCTGATAAACATAAATGTGTGAGGACATTATAAGGCGATGTGTGAGAACACTTTCCTGGGAGTTCTATTAGAGGACATGACCTGTCTTCTCATCATGAAGAAATAAGACAGTCCCGTACCTCTACAAAATAGCTGGTCTCCTCAAAAATGACATAGATCGGGACTGGGGATTTAGCTCAGCAGCACAGCGCCTGCCTGGCAAGCACAAGGTCGTGAGTTCGATTCCCGGTACCGGGAAAAAAAAACAAAAAAAAAAAATGACATAGATCATAAAAGGCAGAGAAGACACAAACATTCATTTTGAAACTTATTGGCAAAGCTGTCCATGACATCATTGCTTTCCTTTGTGTCCGACACATCTGTAATGTCACTGACTTCTTGATCATGGTTATGTCTTCTTTACTCCAAGTCAGTCTTGCCAGAGGCTTTTCATTTTATTATTCTTTCAAAAAAAAAATCAACTTTTGCTTTATTGGGCCATTTACATATATATATGTTTGTTTCCTTACTTGTCTCATTTCTTATGTTTTCTTCTTATTGTTCCACTTTTCTGACTCAAATAGCTCAATATTTTCCTATTATTTATAACAAGCTTTAGTGAGACATGACTTATATGCTACAGAATTCATTCATTTTAATTATGTGGTTCAGTAAGTTTCAGTAAATACATACAGTTGTGCAAGCCATCACTAAGAGGGATTTTTTTTTCTCTTTACACTTTAATGTATTTTAATAGCAAACTTAACAGGAATAGCACAGAAAGACAACATTAAAAACATGTACTAGCGTGTAAGACAACTCAGGAAAGTATACTGGTGGGGTGGAATCTACTGTGTGATAAAACTGCTATAAACAGTTGCAGTCAGTAAGAAATTTACTTATTTTTTAAAAAATCCAAATGCTGGCTTTGTCCAGAAAAATTTAACAGATTTTTATTTATACTTGTTATAAAGCTGAAGTGCTGAAACTTGTTCACTGTGAAGTTTTAACTTGCATTAATGCTTTGTATCACATGAATATTAAAAATTCACAAATGAGGGGCTGGGGATTTAGCTCAGCGGCAAAAGTGCCTGCTCTGGCAAGTGCAAGGTCGTGAGTTCGGTTCCTGGTACCGGAGAAAAACCAAAAAAA